CTCAACGGCGTGGCCATCATCATCGGCACCATCATCGGCTCGGGCATCTTCGTGAGCCCCACGGGCGTGCTGAAGGAGGCCGCCCCGCCGGGGCTGGCGCTGGTGGTGTGGGCGGTGTGCGGCGCCTTCTCCATCGTGGGCGCGCTGTGCTACGCCGAGCTGGGCACCACCATCACCCAGTCCGGCGGCGACCCCCACCTGCCCCGTGCCCGACGGGGCCACCAAGCTGGTGGCCTGCCTCTGTGTCCGTGAGTATCCGTGCCGCGCCGCGCCGCGCCCCCCTGCCCCAGCCCGCTGCCCTGCAGGCAAACAGCTCCCGTACTTTAAGGCGACTTCCCTGTATCCAAACAGCTCCCCTGTGTTAAGGTGACATCCCTATTCAAAAGCCGCGCCTCTATTTGCAGGCAACTTCCCTGTTTTCCAACAGCTCCCCTGTTTTAAGGCGACTTCCCTGTTTAAAAGCAGTTCCCTTCGTTTAAGGTGACATCCCTGTATCCAAACAGCTCCCCTGTTTTAAAGCGACTTCTCTGTTGTCTACCAGCTCCCCTATTTTAAAGCGACTTCCCTGTATTCAAAGCAGATCCCCTGTTTTAAGGTGACATCCTTATTCAAGAGCAGTTCCCCGACTTTTAAGGTGACTTCCCTGCATCCAAACAGCTCCCCTATTTTAAGGCAACATCCCTGTATTCAAGCAGCTCCTCTGTTTTAAGGTGACATCCCTATTCGAAAAGCAGCTCCTCTATTTTAAAGCGATTTCCCTGTTTTCAAGCAGCTCCCCTCTTTGAAGGCAACTTGCAGCACGTGGCGTGCTCGGAGCCGCTGGCATCTTGTGTTGTGTCATCAAATGGTGACGCTCGGCCCTGCCTCTGTCTGTTCCCACCAAGTGGACCCTGCGATCCTAGGCACCGTGTGCCAAACGCGCTCCGGGTCAGAGGGATGACCGGGAGCAAGCGGGCGTGCATGGCATAATGTTCCTGCAGGAAAGAGATGCCAGGCAGGGGGTGGGTGGGGAGGAGCAGGGCATGTTGTCAGTTTGCAAGCCCTAGGGGATGTGTAGAAGAGGCCTTTACGGCTCAGGGAGCTGCGGTCCGAGTGTTGCACCCTTGCAAGAGACTCAAATCCAGCCTTGCGAGAGAGTTAAACCCAGCCATGGTGCCAAGGAGCTAGGGTGCCCCCGAAATGGGGAAGCCACGTGTGGAGTTAGCCTGCAGGAACCCACGCTAGGGAAATTATCTGGTGCTGAACTTGGCAACGGCAGCCAAGAGCAAACCGGTTTCAGCACCGCTCCTGCAAGAGCGCTGACAAAAACCGCCCTCCTCTTCCCTCGCCTTGTAGCCTGGCCAGACGCATGCAAAAGGCTGCAGTCCTGGGGGTGGGGGGCACTCTCTTCTCCCCTCCAGCAGTTCTTTATTTCTGCAGGTGTTGTGTGGCTCGGGGGTGAGGGCTCGGTGTGAATGACCCCGTGGGACCCTTTGCAGTGCAGGGAGCTTCCAAATCCTTTGCCCCTGTTTTGAGGTTTGCAGACCTGTCAAAATCTAGCCCCTTTGCCCCATTAAAAGTCGCCCTGTCTCCCACACGTAGGGCTCGTGTTGTGCCTTTCTTCCCCTGCCATCTCTGAGCACAACCCTCCAGCCCAGTCCTCTCCTAATACGAGCACAGCCCTTCCCTGTGGGTGTAGTTTGGAGAAGGGGGTCTTTAAAGGCCTGGCAGGGGAGAGATGCTACACTTGGGTAACCTGCTTTATTTTATTTTATTTTTTGAAGTTGGGTGATGAAATCAGGTGCAGTCTCTAAACAGACCATTTTCACATGAGACTTCTCCTCTCTGGGTGGATTGAGGGCCACTGAGAGCTGCAGTGGTGGGAAGGGGCATTCCCTTTGACTCATCCAGGTGCCAGCTGCCCCAGACCTGCACAGGCACTCGGAGCGGTTTGCTGATGCAACTCTGGCCTGGCTGGAAATACCAACCACGCTGCAGATTGTGCAAGTCAGGCTTGTATGTTTTCCACAGTGCCAGGCCTGAAATGCCTCATTTCACAGCCACGCGGTCAGGTGTGTTGGGGGAAATGGAAGCCAGGGCATCCCCAGCCACCCCTCTTGCTCTCTTTTTTTAAGTCAGCCAGATTTTTAATTCATTACAAGCTGTGGGGAAGTGTCACCTTACTGAAAGGAGTAAGGTTCGGTTAGGAAACAGTGCTGCCGAACCTGCGCTGCGAAGGGGGAACATCCTCCTCTTGTATCGGTGGTGGTGTTGTCAATACGCAATGAGAGTTCATTCTGCAAACGGCAGTGTGTGCGCGCGAAGGAACTAAAAGCATTGCAGCGACATAGATGCTGCATTTTTAATGACTTTGCATTGAAGTCTTGCATTGCAGGGCAACAAGGTGAAAAGGGCTGCTGAAGTGCACGTAGTGAATTAGGCTAGCGTGGGTCAAGCAGGCCAGGTGAGAGAGTCAGTGCCGTGGAAAGGTATGATGTAGCCAGCATCAGATTCAGCTGCTTTGACTCCCCAGCTCACAGCACTGTTAAGAGCTGGGTCAGCAGAGGTGTGAATCCAGAGCAAGGTCCTGACTTGATGTGAATGCAGAGCAGAGCAAGGTCCTCTACATCTTCTAGGGAGCAGTCTTAGCTGTCCTAGTACCATGCTCCGTATTGCAGACTTTGAATGTAAGTGCTAGGAATTTACCATGTGATGGGTATCTTCAGCATGCTTTCCAGCATCCTGACGGCTGGGATAGCTCAACTTCCCATTCGACAAGACTGGGAAGCAGATGCAGGGAGTAAGTACCTAGCCCAGGGCCACAAGCTGGTCAGTCAGCGATGGGATCCTGGCTCTCGGTCCTCTGTGGCTTCCTCTGTTGAGTGATTTTTAGCGTCTCTACGCTTCGTCTGCTCACAAGCAAAAGTGCTTTTCTTGGAGCAGAGTTCGTTCCACCCTTCCTAGGTCTCAGGATCTGCATCATTTTCATGTGGTTCTTCTTTAAACTAATCCCTTTCCCCTTAGGCTACTCTTCTGCATATGCTTTTGGTTACATTGGTCTCCTTTTAATTTAGTTTAAAAGATTTTGTCAGGCAATGCAGCTACAAACAAATGTTTCTTCCCTAATTACCAGAACTTTGATTTATTTTTTTTTTGAATTTTTTTTTTTTGGAATCCACTTGACTGTTCCCAGGGAGCCAAGACCTCCATGCGAAACAGCAGTAAAACATGAGGACCTAGCAAGTGGAAGCTATAGCGTGACTTGCTAACAGTCAGGTTTGTTAAATGGTTGTTCAAAACTGTCCATCACTGCGGGAGTGCTCACAGCTCAGTGTTGCAGTGAGGTTTTCCAAGGCCTGGAGGACTTGAGAAATTTGCACCTCAGACACAGATGTTGCCACATATTCCAAAGCCAAGGATGCTCTGGGATCCTCCACGCCCTTGTCCTGGCTGTAACAGGCCAGCTTATTCACTCCTTTCACCTACCCTGGACTCGTTCTTCATCGAGTTTGTGTATCCGCAGGCTGTGACCTTTTACATTCATGCTCCAGTAACAAGGAGGTCCTTGTTGTGTTGGTTTTGAACTGCAAGGATCATCCTCGCCAGAACGTTACTGGAGTCGGGGAGCTGAATGAAAAAACAGGTCGCTAGACTTGCTACTGTAGTTACCCAAATCCAAGACGGCTTCACGTTTAAGACAACCCCCTTCATAATTATATTCTGTACATGGAAAATGATACAGTTGTTTAAAAAAAGGACTTATGAGCATGCTTTATGATTAAGAGACAAGTCTGATTAATGCAGGATTGCTCGTTATTTATGAGGATTCAAGGAAATGTTGGGTTTTTGAGTGTCCGTTCTGAAAGTTGAGTAAATTGTAGCAGGTTTTTGTCCAGGAGTTTGTAGCTGCTTTCCTTACCCATTGCTCATTGATCATCATTCGGATTCCTCTGTTCTGAAAAGTTTTAGTCATCCAATCTAGGGGAAGAAACATGCCGAATTCCATGACAAATCACACATAAATAATCATTGGAGGGATTAGCTCCCCAAAAACCCAATGGCTGAAACTTTTTTTCACCCAAACACCTTGATAAAGTCTTACAAATAAGCAGGGCTGGGTTGGTGACCAGAAGGATGAGCTACCTTTGTGATGACCAGACCCGCGACAGTGCAGCTTGCACATGGTCAGTTCTGATCTCACCTTTTATTTAAGTATCGTCACGGTCACACATACCGTCACGTGAAATGGGAAGTCAGGGATTCAGCCTGCGTGTGGTTTGAAGGGGTTATTCCCAAAGAGTGAAATGACATATAGGGACTTCATGATTCGGAGCGGCTTTTATAGTTTTCCTATCAATTATTCCAACCCCCACTATTGGCACGCTGTAGTAGTTCTCTTGTGGCAGGTTCAGCACTCTGTTTTCCAGCTACGCACACGTGCACGGCTGGCACTATATAAGTATCTTAGATTTAGTGGGCTTTTCATCAGGTTGCTGCCATTCCCCCTTTTTTGGTTCTCAAGAAGACATCTTTTGCCTCCATGGCGAGATGTAATTTTGCGTTCCAGTCTCGACATGGCCATCAACACTTTTTCCATGTTCCTCCTTTTTCTGTTGGTTTCTAAGCAGTTTTTTTTTTCAATATATACACATTTTTTTATGATATTTAAATATTTCTCATTTCAAATACCTTCCATTTGTTAATCCTGGCATATCCATTTGTTTAAAAAATATAGCAATATAAACCTTCCATTTCCTTTTCTTTCTGAGAACAGCAGTTGTCCTGGGCAACAGATGACCTCAAAGGTACCTCTTCTGTCTCATACCGCTGTGTCATATTCTTTTTTAATGAAAAGCTCTATTCAGTCCAGTTTGCTGTCGTGTACATTAAACATCTTCAGGTGAATTTGTACACCTCTCAGAAATCTTCATTCCAAAAAATCACAGGAGCTCGGCATAATAAACAACGTGAATCATAGAAAATGAGGGCTCTCAGGAGATCACATCCAGTCCAACCCCTGCTCCAAGCAGGACCAGCCCTGACTACATCATCCCAGCCAAGGCTTTGTCTACCTGGGTCTGCAAAACCTCCAAGGATGGAGAGTCCACCACCTCTCTGGGTAACCCGTTCCAGTGCTTTACTACCCTCCTTGGGAGAAAGTTTTTTCCTAATATCCAACCTCAACTCCCCTTGCTGCAGCTGGAGCCCATTGCTCCTTGTCCTGTCATCTGCTCCCACCAAGATCAGTCCAGCTCCATCCTCTTTGCAG